CTGCACAGGATTTCTCTGCCTATTGTCCCTTCTGGACCAGCTCAGTGCCTCTGTCTCTACATATCCCAGTTCCTGCCCTAGGGAAGCAGGTGGAGGAAGCTGCTGTCTGAGTAATGATTGCTCTACCATTTCTTTTAAGAATGACACTATTTTTAGAAGTGACTCATTCATATAAGCAGGTATGGGTGGAGGGGCGGGAGGTTCTCAGTGACAACTTAACCCTTATGTCTCACTGCATTTAAATTTATCCTTGTACTTTAATCCTTCATTTAATGAGCACCACAGGTCAGTTGTGATTCAGGGCACCAATGAAAACAGACATTTCTCTGGAAATAATTTAAAGTGTTTTCCATACAGATACTTGAAAAGTGAGAAAGTTCTCAAAAGATAGGAGAGAGGGCCAGAAAGGGAAAATTGGGATGGACCACTGTCATTTTGAGGAGGGGGACAGGTGAGGGAGCAGCTTAGTAGAGAGAAAGATTGAGGAAATTCTACTTCAGATGCCTTGTGCTTTAATATGCAGTAACAGGGAAAGCACTGTATTAGTAACTGGATGATTTAGAAGCCTTGGAGGGAAAGCGTTTCATTCTGAAAAGGCTGCTTCCTGATTGCGAGACTCCATTTTTCCTCTTATGAAAGGAAAGTGTATTCTAGAACTTTTAGCACAACCAACACCCCCAGTTTTCAAACCCTGGACACTGGGCAAAGCACTTTACAGGTTATCTTATGTAACCCTCATGAAACTTTTATGAGATAGGTAGTGTTATGACCCCCTTTTACAGACAAGGAAGCTGAGACTTGAGGAGGTTCTGTAATTTTTTTAAGGCAACATACTAATAAATGGCTCATAACTCATGTCTGTCTGAACTCAGACATCCAGTAATCCTGGCCCAGTGGGGTATGGCTAGTACACCAGAGCCTGCCAGCTGCAGGCTGTGTTGCTGCTACAAGAGCTAGTGTTTGAAATACTTACAGGCCTTGCATATAGGATTTATTGCTTTTTGCTATTGTAAGAAACTTCACCTGTGTGAGTCTATACGCTTGCTGGTTAAGAGAAACATGGCAAAAAATCTTGCCATTACCAGCACTTAGACTTAAATAACCCTTTCATTTTTGTGATTCTTCCTCATCCAATACAAGTTAATTCACCCATGACTTACCTATTTCCATATTAATATATTTTTGTGTATTTGTTATTTAACCGACACCTCTAATGACCAGTCCTTAACCACATTGCCTGTTGTAGAGTATGAATCCCTTAAATATCACTGACATCTCTGCATAAACTACTAGAGAAAGTCCCCAGCGTCATATCCATGCAGGGTCTTGCTTTATCATCTTCTGGATGGTTAAAGAAATGTCAGAATTTATTGTAAAATCATCAGGTCCAGGGATACCCTTCTTCTAAGTATTTTAAAACAAAGAATGAAAAATGTGATGTTGGACCAATTCAGCTCAGTATTTCTTGCTGCAGAGTATCAATGTGGAGTATATCTTCCTTGAACTCATTTACATTTATAGTTCCAAGAAGTCATCGGGTTAAGGAAGTCCAAATAAAGGGTGTCACAGGAATAATCAATCCTTTCATTTTTTTTCAAAACTTTAATCATGAGTTAGCATTTTAATTTTCTCAAATGCAACCCCTGACTACAAAACCATCAAAAATGAATGATGAGGGATCCTCCTGTTGTAATTTTCCATCGTTGTTGCCAATAACGGGCAAGTCTGTTTACTGACCTTAGGAAGCCTATCAACCTATGTGAGTGTAGACTCCTCAAAATATGTTGTTTTATCAAAACACTGCTAAGAGTTTTTCACCTGTTCCATCCAGACAACCTAAATAGACCTTGTACATTCCACCATATTCTCCTTCTTCTGGCAAACCCTTCACTTTTATGTGGACCTGAGCCTTACTCATTCTTCACAGTAGTGTTCAAGCTCCTTGTCCTTCTCTGCTATTCCTGGCTAAGATCTTTTGATCTCTAGACAACTGCTGTCCAATAGAAATATAATGTGAACTGCACATGTCATTGTGAAAATTCTAGTAACCACATTATAAAAGTAATAAGAAACAGGTAAAATTAATTTTAATGACATATTTAATGTAACCAAATATAGCCACATTATTATTGTTTCAACATGTAAAATTAGTAATGAGATATGAGATATTTACTTTTTTTGGCATCAGCTTTCTGAAAACCAGAGAGTATGTGTATGTTAATACAACGCATTTCAATTCTGACTAGACACATTTCAAAGGCTCAGTAACCATGTATACTGGATGGCACAATACTGGACCGCATGTTCTGAGAAGGACAGGATAGTTCCTGGCACACAAGTGGACTCAAATACTTGTTGCTTTCAGCTCTTGCTCCTACTCACATTTCTCTCTGTTCTGTCAGTTTGCAATGATCACCATGCCTGTTGTTAGTTACCCTCCAAGGCACGCACACATCCCCTCAACTAATTTACAAGCCCTTGGACAGAGACCAACGAGTGTGCTTTAATTTTCTGCAGAGTACACTGAGATGCCTGTAGTCCCTAAACCTGGAGTTCCATTGCAGGCCTCCTCATCTTGGTACATGTTGTTACCTCTGCCTGGAATGTTCTTTCCCCTTCTCTTTTGAAAAGTAACACCTGTTTTCAAAAAGCACCCTGTCCCCTGCCACCTCTCAATTTGATTGAATGCCAATTTTCTGGACATCTTTTATCAAAATTTACGTTATATACTCACAATTACTCCTTGGTTTCATTCACTGCCCCATGAGCTGTTTTGTGTGTGCACGTGTGTGTATGTGTATGTGTATGTGTATATTCCATGTCTTACTGGTTTTAGATCACTAATACCAAAGACTGTCCCTGTAAAATGAATGCAGGAATGCTACATAGCATATGTTAAACAAAATATCAGTTGATCTTTATAATTGTGAAAGAGAATAGGTTTCTGACTTAAGATATGCTCTGCATTTATCACCTGCAAAATAGGTAAATGGCTAACTGCCCAATATACTGGCCCATTTCCTGGAACAGGAAAGGAAAGGACGGAACTTTAATCCTCCCGACATCCTGCAAACGAGGTGCTATTACCCTCATTTTACAGATGACGAAAAAGAGGCTCAGAGAGGTCAAGAGACTTGCTCAAGGCTGCACAGCTAGTGAGTGCCACGAGAAGAATGAGTCCAGGTCTGTGTGTCCCTGAAGCTGATCTTTGTGCTGAGGCCCCAGTTCCCACAAAGTTGTAGAGCAGAAGCCTTCCGATCGCTTCAGATAAACCCTAGCTCAGGCGAAGTGTCTATACAGATCACGGGAGAGAGCACAATGCATAGCCACAGGTCTTTTCTGTTGCAGTCCCCCCACCAGCAGAGGCTGCCCCCTCCCCACTCTGCCAAACGTGAACCGTAGTGACAGAAGATGCCTCCTGGCTTGTCAACAGAATAGGCTCCTGGGGACCTGGGAATGGATCAGAACAGCAGTAAAGGCCCTGGGTCCATGTCCTGCAAGCAGTCAGGCTGTCAGAGAGCAGGGGTCAACTCCAGCTTTTGAGTGTGAGAAACTGCTTTACTGTGCCCTCCTGCTTCTGCAATGATGAGTTCTCCCTCATTAAGTGCGTCTGCCACTCTCTGTAATGGAGTCTGCCTAAACATTGCCTAATAGCACTGATTAAACTGAGCATGCATATGCCTGGCACCATGGTTGCTGCTATCACAGGAATCTGGGGCTGCTGAGACCAACTGCAAGACACTGAAGCTGCTAGTAACAAGCCTGATGGCAGCAGGGCACCAGGGTGCAGATCTGAATCTGCAAAGAGGAATTGATTTCCCTTCCAATATCCCGTCTCTCCTTCTAATAAGCAGATGGATATAAAAAAGGAAAAGAGATGGCAAGGCTGCTCTTAGCTGCACCTGCCATCCTGAGTGCTGTGGTGCCTCACCTTGAAATGCTCATGACCATGTAGGGAACATGGATGGGTTTCCTCAATCAGTTTCTCTGCCAGCTTAGTCTGAAGTCACATCACGCATAGATTAACACCCTTGGATAAACCTAAAATTTGAGTTTGGATTTTGGTTTGTTTTGTGATAGTCTGTATATCCTGCTATAAAGACACTCAGCATGTAGAAGTCAGAATAAAAACATAAATTAGGAAAATTATTTTTCTTTGTTTCACAAGGGCTTTGATGCAGGGTTTCTTTAAATGGTAAGTTTCATTGGTGCATTTAGCATAGAAGTTAGCTTACAAATAGATTTTTAAGGAAAAAAGTCTGGCTGTAAAGCGGCTGCCATTTACAGCATGGTCTCTATGAGGCAGGCACTGTGAGGAACACATGACACACATGAAGTCTGATGTTCACAGTAACCCTGAAAATTGGATATTAGCATTCCTATTGTATAAATGAGAAATCCAAGGTTTGAAAGTGCAAAGTTAGCAGGCAAATCTGGTGAAGCGGGTTGAATTGTGTCTCCCCAAGAGATATGTTGAAGTCCTAATCCACAGTACCTGTGAATATGACCTTATTTGGCACAGAATCTTTGAAGATGTAATGAAGTTGAGATGAGGTCATACTGGATCTGGGTGGGCCTAAATCCAATGACTGGTGTCCTTATAAGGAGAGTGAGAAGAGAGATTTGACACAGAGGACAGACACACAGAGATGAAGGCCATATGACGATAAAGGCAGAGGTTGAGGGCGATACAGCTGCAAGCCAAGGAATGCCACGGATTGCCAGCAACTCCCAGAAGCTAGGAAGAGGCAAGGAAGGGTCCCTAGAGCCTTCAGAGGGAGCATGGCTCTGCCAATACCTTGATGTCAGACTTCTAGCCTTCAGGACTACGACAGAATAAATTTCTGTGGTTCTAAACTGCCCTGTTTGTGGTAGTTTGTTTCAGTAGCCCTAGAAAACGAATATGCCTGGGAACACCAGGTTTGCTGATTCTAAGGATACTTCCTCGTCCTTATAGAATTTCAAGGCTGCCTGCTGTGTGGCTGTTGACACTGCAGGCCCTCACTCTTGCCAGTATCTGATTCGCCTGCTCTTGAGGAAAGCCGGTGAGAAGCAGTAGGCAGGGGAATGACACCATCTATCTAAGGTGAGTTTTGCAAGGCATGGCCCTGGATAAAGGGGAATGCCTGGGAGATTGTTTAGAAGTGTTGCTATTGTCCAAGAAAAAAGTAGGCGGTTTATGCTCACCTAGCGGCAGTGAAGATGAGAAGAAACTGATGACTTTGAGAGGTGTTGAGAAGGCAGAACTGAAGACAGATAGCACTTCAGATGTGGGGGCGAGGGTGAGGGGCTGTCAGTTGGGATGCTCAGGTTTCTGGCCTTGGTAACTGGGTGGGTGTTTATGTCATTGTGAGAATGGAAGTTTATCATGATTGATCTAAACCTAATAGACGTCAGTTGAAATGCATTGGTGGTAGAATTCTCTAAGGGAACAGGCTTTAGAATCAGGCAAAAGTAGGTATGTATTGCCTATAATGCAACACACTAGCTAAGAGACGTCGGGTGAATCATTTAACCCCACAGGTCTCAGTTTCCTTATTTACTGTTGTTGTTTGAGACAGGGTTTCGCTCTGTCATCCACACTGGAGTACAGTGGCATGATCATGGCTCACTGCAGGCTGACCTCCTGAGCTCAAGCGATCTGCCCACCTCGGCCCCCAAGAAGCTGGTGCGGGCCACCATGCCTGGTTAATTTGTGTGTGTGTGTGTGTGTGTGTGTGTGTGTGTGTGTGTGTGTGTGTAGAGACAGGGTTTTTCCATGTTGCCCAGACTCCATGTGGTCCCAAACTCCTTGGCTCAAGCACCTCACCCACCTCGGCCTCCCAAAGTGCTGGGATTACAGGGGTATGCCATTGCACCCAGCCAGTGTTCTCATTCGTTAAAAGTGAAGATAATGATATGAGTTAGTATATGTAAAGAGCATATGGTATGCAAATAATCGGAGGTTAGCTTTTATAAAATATTTTATAAGTAATATGATGCTGTCCACTGGAGCATTTCAATGACACATCTTACTCATTTTTATTATTGGCCAGGCACAGTGGCTCACATCTGTAATCCCAGCACTTTGAGAGGCCAGGGCAAGAGGATCGCTTGAGCCCAGGAGTTTGAGATCAACCTGGGCAACATGGGGGGACCTCATTTCTACAAAACAAACAAACAAACAAAAATTAGCCAGGCGTGGTGGCATGCACCTGTTGTCCCAGCGACTCAAGAGGCTGAGGTGAAACGATCACCTGAGCCTGGGAGGTTGAGGCTGCAGTGAGCTGTGATTGCACCACCGCACTCCAGCCTGGGCAACAAAGTGAGACACTGTTTTAAAAAAATCATTATTTTAAAATAAACTAGAGAGGATCTTGTTTTTATTTCCTCAACTGAATGTGGGAGAAGTGTGGGGAAACTGTGGAATATAGACATTAAGGATCAGTGCAAGCTCCCTTTAATATCTCAAGAAAATAAAAGTCATTTTCTAGTTCTGTTTGTGCAACTATAAGATATTTTTAGTGCAGAGTTTAAAAAATTTTAACTAAAAAGACAATGTGAGTGAATGAAAGCCCAGCAGTGTAGAGAGTATATATTTCTTTATTTCCAATAAGTCACGGGAACAGCATGTACCGGTAACAAAATAGCACTTTCTCTTGCCTAGCAGATTTTTTTCCCCTGTCTAAAGGGCTACTAAAACCATTATGTTTTTTTCAATGCAGGACATCTTGTCCTTTCCCTGAGGTTATAGTACTTGGTGCCTTTCATGATTTCAGACAGTAAACTGCTCCCTAAGTGGGACTCTGTTCTTTGTCTAAGACATTTTATCTTTTCTAAAGCAGTGTTCCCACCATGACAAGTGCTATTTATGTGTACATTATCAGAGCTACACAAACAATAATTCTTACTTTTCTTGAAACATTTAAAAGAAAACACTCAGTACAAATTAATAAACATCAGGTACTTTTAATATTTGTATAATTGGGATCTGTTGTTGCAGCTAAGATACTCATAAATCTAGATGCCATTATTAAGAAGAAGTAACTTGATTTTCTTGACATTTAAAAATACAGCCTCAATGGTTTATCATATAAAAAGAGAAAATAAAACTTTGACTTAAGGATCATAACGAAAGAAAGAAGTTGCTAAATTAATGACAGAGATCTTGCCAAAGCCATGCCTTCTGCAACGTGGTTATTTCCCCTTGTATTTTTTTCAGGTGTCTCAAAATAAAAAGTGTTCAAAACTGAATGCACTGTGATTTATCGTTTCTACTTTCCCACGCAGGTCCATCCTTTCTCCCACATTTCCTATCTTGATTAATGATTCCATTGCCCAACCAGAGGGCTGGCATTGTCCTGAACACTTTCATTCTTATTGCCCAGGTCTGACTGGTCATTGCATCCTGGCAGTTCTACCTCCCAATTACTGCTTCAGCTCCTACCTTCTTTCCATCCCTATATTTGCTCCCTGGACCAAGTGTTCTTAAACTTCCATAATAGCCCCTTAGAGGTCTTCTAGCCTGTAGTCCTGGAGCTCTCCCATTCATTCTCTACTTCAGTCGATGGGAGCTTTCTAAATTGCCCCATTCTTCCCTGGTGAGGCACTGGCCCCAAGACCTACCGACTGGAGGGTCAGCTCCCTGGAATGGCATGAGAAGCCCATCAGAATGATCTCTTCCTCCTGTGAAGTCTTGTATTTAAGTACTTCTTGCCCCAGCCTGTACTTGATATTCCAGCTATTCCGTGCTGTCTGCAGCCTATCAACAATACCATGCTGCTCCTCTGCCTGGAAATGTTTTTCTCCGTCTTGTCACCCTAGAAAATCATTCTTAAACCCACTGCTAGTTCTGATAGTTCTTCCTCTAGCAAGACTTCAGGGACTTTTCCTTCTCATCCACTGCCATCTCAGCAGCCCTTTTGTATCTGGATTTTCTTTCTATTCCTGTACATTTCATACTGTATTTTTAATGTTTTAATTCACATGTCTGTCTCCTTGGCCACATTGGAAGCTCCTTGGACATGGAGACTGTTTCTAAGTCATTGTTGCCTCCTCAGGCCCTAGTGTGGACACACCAGATACCCACCAATTTTTGAAGTAAATTATGATCTCAGTTGTTCATTGCCAACAGTCTGTTACTCCTTATCTTCCACTACTGTACATCCTCCCAATATATTTTATTTTCCAATCCCACCAGGGTCTTCTTATCTTTGTCTTACAGATGAGAAAACTGAGGCTCAGAGCATGGAAGTCATTCCCAATATCACACTGCTAGTAAGTAACAGAGTCAGGATTCGGCCCCAGAGCTGGGTGAAATTGCACAGCCCAGATGCTCCAGTGCGCCTCCCTGCTGCCTTTACAGAATATAAACAGTAGACTGGGACCAATTTCTTCAAAGTGCAAAACATTTCTGTACCTCCATACTTGTGCTCAATCTTTGCTCTCCTCTCCTCTACCTGTAGAATTCCTATTTCCCCTTTAAGTTCTAGTTCAAATGCTGCTGACTGTGTGAAGCATTTTTTTTTTTTTTTTTTTTGAGACAGGGTCTCCCTCTGTAGTGGCGTCATCCATCATAGCTCACTGCAGCCCTCAAATTCCTGGGCTCAAGGTATCTGCCTGCCTTGGGCATTTTTTGTTTCTGTCAGCTTCCAATAAGAGTTTCCTCTCCTGCATCCACAATATCTTCACACACAGACACATATCCCTGAACCTTCTCTTTCATGGCCTCCACCATATTCTAGCTCATATGATGGTTATTCCTGCAAGCATTTCCTCTTTGTTAAACTGAAGTGCCTTTGGTGCAGAGATCAGGTCTTTTTCATTTTTCTGTGACCACAGCCCCTAATATAGTGTTATGTATATAAAAGTACATAGTACCATTCAGTACATAGTACTGAACGAGTAAGTGAATGAGTGCTATATTTCATCAGCCTGTCTCTGTTGGAGGACAGAAGGTTTTGTAAATTTTCTTGCTCCCTCGGCACTTGGCCTGGTAATTTGAAGATAAGATCTGATTAGGTATTTGGCTACATTGTATTTATATCTTATATGTTACAGTTATTCTTCATAGCTTTAAAGAAGAAGAGAATAAGAGGGGAAAGACATATGTAATTTAGGTCTTCAGGTCTGAGTCCTTGAACTCCAAAACCAGGAGAAGAAAAAGAGAAAGAGAGGCTCACCCTTGCTCTGGAGACTGTTCTCAACCAGGAGCGGAACATAGCTCCCTTGCGGTGCAGGCAGAAATGTGTGAGTGGGCTGGGTGGGGAGTGGGCGTGGGTTGTGGGGAGAAGTGCTGGCATTCACATTAGTGGTCAGAACTCAGCAATACTAAGGGCCCTAAAACGCACTGGGTAGTCTCACATAACAGAGAACTGTGCTGGCCAAAATGCCAACAATGCAGATATTGGCTTTTTAAAATTGCTACTACAACAAATAACCACAAGCTTAGAGACTTAAGCAACACAAACTTATTACTTTAAACTCCTGTAGGTCAGAATCTTACACGGATCTCACTGAGCTAAAAGCAAAGGCTCTGCAGGGCTGATACCTGCCTTCACGCTCTAGGAGAAAATCTATTTCCTTGCCTTTCCCAGCTTCTAGGGGTTACCCACATTTCTTGGCCTGTGACCTCTGTCCTCTACCTTCAAAACCAGCAACAGCAAGTTGAGAACTTTTTCCACAGAATCACTCCACTCTCCTCTTCTGCTTTAAGGACGCTCGTGATGATTGGACCCATCTGGATAATACAGGGTACTCTGCCCATCGCAAGGACAGCTGATTAGCAACCTTAATTTTATCTGCAACCTTTGCTATGTAACATAAAATATTACAACCTTTGCTATGTAACCTTTCCCTTTGCTATGTAACATAAAATATTCACAGGTTCCAATGATGAGGATGTGGACACCTTTCGGGGCCATCATTTTGTCTATCACAGTGCCCCCACATTGGAGGATATCCCACAATTATTGGTCCTTGGTGATTATCTTCTGTGTTAGATGGGTCTGCCTCAGGACAGGCATTCAGAGAATAGCCGGCATTTAGAGAGCTCTGAAATATATACCCCAGTAAAATTCTCAGCACTCTGTGGAGTATCATTTCGTC